GTTTTGTTTGGCTTTTGATAAGAGCTTCACAGATATTACAATGTCAACGGTCCTCAGCCATGGCTCTTTAGCCGAGCTAGAACGGCGAAATGTACCCTAAGCCGAATAGAAAATCAAGATTTGATTATTTTCTCGTAATTTTGATTTTCATCGTGATTTTATATTCTACTTAACATAATTGTATTTGCAACTTAGTTATGATTGCTTCCGCAATTTTTCAACATTATTCTTTATTATTTGTAAATTTTATAATATTCACGAATAAATAATCATTTCGTTGATAGAACCTACATTCATTGTCAAGTATATTATATTTACCTGCTTACCTTCTTAAACTTTAGAAAGGAGACTCCCACAAAAAGACATACTAATGTTTATTATAACTTGTATATATATAGTTAAGTTAGATCCTTGTAATATTTTTATAATGTCATAAAATATTACTTTTAACCCTGTGCGGTATAGTGCCATAGCCATACGGCACCTTTCCCTACTCTGTTTTTTATAATTTTTACATATTTTTTATTAAGCCAATATGACTTTAATCACACATTTAAGTTCTTAGAACATGAATCACTATGTAACAACTACTAAAATTATGTTGTTTGTTAGGTAACAATATATTATTTGTTAGGTAATAGTGTCGAAGTTTTTTGAGATCAAAGAATTTGAAATGGATGTCAAAAAGTGACTTGATTTGTATATAACTTTATGTTAGAAAGTATTTGGATAGCTGATTACGAATATGACAATTATAAAATTCAAAATTGTAGGCAAACATGATGACAATAGAAAATCTCTAAGAAATCTCACTTTTATTTTTACCAGAACTATCGACGAGGACATAGCGAGTTTCTTGTTCCATTTTTTACTTCCTTTGAATACATGATTTTTAGTGATCGGAATCATTTCTACATTTTCATGTTGGGTCTGCCATTTTGAATTTTGAAAATTTTGAAAATTTGACTCCATATTCGTAATCAGCGACCCCAAAATTCCCTGTATACAAGGTTTCAAGAAATTCGTGTGTAAGGTATGCTTGAAACGGTTAAGGGCCGTGGCCTGTTTTTGCTTGGTAGGATGCCCCCAGCGATATAGGGCTCATTTTCACACATATTATACCATGATCCAATATTAAATTACATATCATGTTAACTTCTGTTATCACGTGGTTCCGGAGTTATGTCGTCAAGCTCAAAAATCCAAAAAAAATTTTTTTCTTCGAAACGAGAAAAGCTATGGCTTTGAAAAAAGTATGGAAAATAAAATACCTGAGGAAGGTTGAAACAAGTATGATTTGTTTTGATTCGGACACTTATAGGGTGTCCAAAAAAAACATTTCAATTTTTGAAACGCGATTTTTTCAACATTCTGTAGAGCCGCCACCATCATATAATATTTTATATGCAACATCACTACGTACTCATGTATAACATTGATTTTATCAGGGCTTATCGTGATGGTATAATATAGTTAAAAATACAAAAAATTAAAGATTTACTTTTTTAAAAGTAGTGAATATCAATTTGGGAAACTTACATTTTTAATGTATCGTAAAACTGTTCTTAACTTATACTTCTTATATTCTCGATGTTTTGTCCGCATTCTATTACCGAAATCCGATTTTCGATAAACAACGATTATTAATAGAAAAATATTTTAATACTTTTTGCATCTAAATAACATTGGTTTTATTGCATATTAATTAATCTTCGTAATCAGTGCACAAAAAACGAAGGTGACAAGGATCCCTGTTTTTCGAATTCTAAGTTATCGCAAACAAGCAATTCAAAAATAATCGTACGATCAAGTTAAAAGGAAGAAACAAAAGAAAAAATCCTACTGATTTAACTGGTTCAAATAAAATCACATTTGTGAACCGCAATGAAAAAAAGGGGCAAAGCTCAATTATCGTCACTGTATAGATTTATCGTCAAAGCAATCTGGCCTTCATCAAAAATAGAAAAGCAGTAAGTCACAAATTTTTTGATTGATATCTTGCAAACGTTAGATTTAATATAATATCACGTGTCAACAGGATCCGATTGTTCTTAACCCATTTCCGTATTCGGAAATATAATGCCATCTAAGCATTCTTCCATCAAATATCAGGACGAATCAACCTATTGACGCATTGAAAGAAAGGAAGAAAGAAGACAAATTATTATAAAATATTATAAGTAATGTTTCATACTATTAATCATATTAAGCATTAAAAGAAATATTTTATACTAATAGACATATATCAAACATTGATAAAAAAGCCAAGGTTAAAGAGATAAATTTTTATTTAAACTTTTCCTTATTTTTTAGAAAAAGTATATTAAAACAGAATATCATTCTGTTAAGTGATTCTGACGCATTGAAAGAAAGGAAGAAAAGACAAATTATTATAAAATATTATAAGTAATGTTTCATACTATTAATCATATTAAGCATTAAAAGCAATATTTTATACTAATAGACATATATCAAACATTGATAAAAAAGCCAAGGTTAAAGAGATAAATTTTTGTTTAAACTTTTCCTTATTTTTTAGAAAAAGTATATTAAAACAGAATATCATTCTGTTAAGTGATTCTCAGCTACAACATCTTATGGTATGTTAAAAATGAAAATATGTATACATTAAATATAAAAAGTAAAAATTGGTATCAAAGTTATTTAACACAGTGAATAAAATTTATCAGAAGAAAATCAATATTTTTCGGTGAAATTCTCAAGAATAGCATTCCTTTTATTTTTACGACTTGTGTCTGTACTGCACTAGTACTTGTATACTGCAAACGAAAATTGAAAATATAATTAAACGGAAGAGTTTAAAATATAATTTATAAGTGAACTTCTCAAAACTTAATTTAAATATTCATATAAAATAGTATTATTTCTTTGAATTATTATTTAACATTAATTAATATATACACACCACCTTATTTAAATAAATAGTACATATTTTTTTTGTAAGTTCATTTAATATCTGTTATTTATTATTAATTTATTACATATATTTGTGGTACGGTTGATAGCTGAATAATTGTCGTACAATAAATATTTATAATATTCGCAATGTACACATGTACATATTGTCCGTGCCAATGGCTATTCGAAATTCGTCCTTTTGCCAGTTTCAATATACATTGTCAATAAATCACATAATATTCGAAAACATACACAAATCTGTTATTAGTGTCCTTCGGGCTATACTCAACTCAACATCTAAACTGAATTCGTGTACAGAATTGTCGTGTACAGAATTATTACCTTCGCATATATATCTAGCATTATTTTTAAGTGAATATAACGATTAAAGTGTTTGATAATTGTCAATTACACGAGTATATAATGCCTGATATAACTAAAACCTTGTGTATATATGGTGGATTAGACACAGCAAATAATTATAATCAGTTTTTCAATCCGAATATCTGTCATGTTTGCAAGTGGCCGAATCAAGGCGAATTAATGCCATGTGGTTCATGCGACATGGTCTT